TTGATCAGTTACTTTTACCAAATATTTTTTTACTCTTATTTTAGTAATTTCTTGAACGGATACTTTTTACTTGAGTAACGTTGAAGTTGCTCCTGCCTGAGTTGAGTTTTTGGCTCTGGGTAAATTACTTTGACACATTGTGATTTAAGCCGGTTTATATCAGGGCTTTATGTTGAGATTTGGTCCGATAGTTTGCTACATCCTGGCGTTTTTGTTCCGTTTACCTGGAGAAAAGGTAAATCGTTGTCCTGTTCGTCTCTTGCAGGTAAGGAAAGAGTGGGAAGAGGCGGATCGACAGGCCAGGAACATTCCCCGTGCGGAGAGACAGACTCTGGTCCAGGTAAGCCCCGATCTGCGTCTCTCTGTTTGGGTGACACTCAACAGGTCTGTAATTATCTTTTTCTCCAGCTGCTCTATCTTTACTCGTCTGAGTCTAAATTAGGACTTAAACGAGTCTCCCTGGAGGCTGGAGGACTGAAACTAAGACCTAGATTTTTATTTCCTCGCGCCGCTCTGTGTCGTAATCGGAGTGTTTTGTTTCCAGCACTTCCAGGCGATGGTGGAGTCTCTGGAGGAGGAGGCAGCCAGCGAGAAGCAGCAGCTGGTGGAGACTCACCTGGCCCGGGTGGAGGCCATGCTGAACGACCGCCGCCGCGTCGCCCTGGAGAACTACCTGGCCGCGCTGCAGGCCGACCCCCCCAGGGTCAGCGCAGACCCACTAATTGCCACCATTAAACACAAACCACGAGTCTTAAGGCTACGTTTATGACAGTAAAAGTCAAATAATTCAGAGTAAAGGTCATAAAAATATTAATCAAAAATATGAATTTTGAGTTTTAGTCATAATTTCTTTTTATAAAGTCATATTTATGAGACTAAATATAACTTCAACTTTCCAGGGTTATGATTAAGAGATTATAAAATTCGTTGGAGTAAACCTGCTTGGAGAAAGTGACTCTATCTCATAATTGATACTTTAAAACACTACATGACTTTTTGTTGGGCTTTTATTATTTTTCTTTATGGCACTAATGGACTTCCATATATATCTGAGTGAGAGTTTGTGGATTGTTTCTAAGATTTGCAGCCGGTTGTTTTTGGTATTTGGTGCTGGTCTTCAGCTCATCTTCCTGTTCCTTAGCGTAACCCGGTTTAGGGTTCAGGAAGTGGGAACCCGGTTCTGATGGCGTTGGGCCGCCGCTCTGTGTCTGTTTCAGCCCCACCGCATCATGCAGGCGCTGAAGAAGTACGTCCGAGCCGAGAACAAGGACCGGCAGCACACCGTGCGCCACTACCAGCACGTCCTGGCGGTGGACCCAGAGAAGGCCGCGCAGATGAAGTCTCAGGTCGGTGCCTCCATCCTGCCAGCCGTCGCTAACGGCAACGCCAAAATGGCCGATTACGAGCCTCAGGGTTCATCAGAAGGAGACATTTAGTGTGACGTTGTTGAGATCTCGCTATGAGGAAGGAAGGAAGGAAGGAAGGAAGGAAGGAAGGAAGGAAGGATGGAAGGAAGGAAGGAAGGAAGGACGGAAGGAAGGACGGACGGACGGACGGAATTGGTTTCTCCATCCATCCATCCACTTTTTCATTTAATTTTAATCCTCAAACTGTTTTGTAGTCGTAACTAAAATCTGTTCTGTTCGATCTGGAAGTGTCTGCCGAGTCAATCTTCCTCTTCTCCCTCCTCTTCCTCTCCCCCTCCTTCTCTTCCTCCTCCTCCTCTTCCTCCTCCTGTTCCTCAGACAGAGCAGGGATAATGATGTCTCATCCTGCTCCTCTGCCCTGTTTGTAAGTGTGTGGGCGGCAGAGAGAGCAGAGTGTTTCATTCACTCCAGCCTGAGCTGCAGATTAACACGCTGCAGCGCGCCGGCGCCGGACCCTGACCCGCTGGCGCTGGGATCGGGTCGGACTCTCTGGGTTCAGGTCTCTGAGTCACACAGTCACAGGGAAGATTGGCATAAAAGATGCAACAAGTCAGGCTGGCATTTCCTCCTCCAGTTTCAGTTTACTTCTGTCATTATTTGACTCATAATCCAGGATAATCTGTTCTTTATTACACTTAACTTTCCGTTTTTAATAACTTTAAATATCTGGAGTGAGTGCAGCTGCTTAATGCATCAGTTTCTGCTCTGAGATGTGAAATCCCTCACGATGAGGATTGTTTGTCAGGAAGGAGCTGCAGCGCATTGCTAACGGTCCTTTACTGCCCCCTGTTGGTCACTGGCGGTACAGCAGAGGCCTGAGGTTTGATTCCCCACCAGAAATCTGACGCAAATATTCAGATTTCTGACCATTTTGTGGAAAATGAGACGTTGCTGTGAGCTGAAGCAGCTGGATGGAAATGTAGGGGGAGATTGTTTCTTTAAGTTTAATATTTGAGTTCACAAAGTGAAACCAATTCCTCTTCGTTCGGTCAGAGGTCAGGTGTCTGGGTCAGACTTCCTGTTGATTCATTCGTTCCAGAGGAATCCTGAAGGCTCCAAGAAAACAATTTAAATTTTACTTTATTTCCCCTTAGTGGTCGCCATGGTTACAATAAGTTACCAGCTTGTCCATCCATCCAATTTATCTGTCCTTCCTTCCTTCCTTCCTTCCTTCCTTCCTTCCTTCCTTCCTTCTCCTAAATGGCCTAGTTAAAGCAGGAGAATGTTTCAGAGTTCTGAGCAATCAACAGTTCACAATAAATGAAAACATTTTTTCTTTCCATCAATGCAAAGAAGGTTTGATGATGACAATCAAGCCATTTTTCATCATCATCATCATCATCATCATCAGGCAAAGAAAGTTCAGATTTTTATTCAGGAAAGTCAAATCAACTCAAGAAATGGAGCAAAAATAAATGTTTTTATTTGGTTTTTTTCTCCATAATTTCCTATTTTTCTTCAGTTTCATTTAGCTAAGATGTAATTAATCACAAAACCAACTGAAATGAACAAAAAAATTAAACGTATGTTAATTTTGAATTCTGACTGAATGTCCTCCAAGAGTAGTTGGTGGGTATTTTTTTATTTTATTTTGATGAGCAGCCTTTTAAACACTACAAATACACCAAATCTTAAGATTGTTATACTTGAAATAAGACAAACTAACTTAAAAGTAACTCTAGGGAAGATATAGTAGCTTGTTTTAAATCAATAATTCCTTTATATTCTTGAAAAGGTTTTGGTTTCACTGCCAGATTTTTTCACTTGTAACAGAAAAAATGTTTTGTTAAAAGTGAAATTATTTGCCAGTGGAAATAGTATTTTTTCATCAATATTTAGGAATTGTTTGCTTGAAACAAGCTCCTAAATGTTGTTGAAAAGTTTCTTGTAAGTTAACTTTGTCCTATTTTAATTAATAAGATATTTGCACTAGAAACTCGACCAAAAAAAACATGTTTTTGCAGTGAATGCCTGATTTAGATACATTAATGGAAACCTCTTTACCTGGTTTTATATTTTGATTTGATTTAAGATGAATAGTCCGTGTGAATTAAATGATCAAACATGTCCAGAGTGACTCTAAACGCCTCGTTTTCCTGCCTTCCTGCTGTCAGGTGATGACTCACCTGCGGGTGATCGAGGAGAGGATGAACCAGAGTCTGTCTCTGCTCTACAAAGTTCCCTACGTGGCCGAGGAGCTGCAGGATGAAATCGGTGAGTCACGGGAGAATGAAGTGAAATGGAAAGATAAATCCAGCACATTTTGTTTTTCTACGCCTTTTATTTCTATCTAAAGACTCTCGAGAAATGAAAAACAAACACCAGCAGGTCGGTTTAAATGTCTGACTGCAACCCAGTTCTTCAGTCACATGTCGTCTTATCTTCAGCTGCTGGTGAAAATTTTAACAAAAGTCCCTCTCTTTGGGTTTTTAAGACCAATCCCTGTTTTCACGCTTAGCTAGTTATCCCAGTTTGGGGATTTGAAAATGTTCTTCTGTTTTCTCTGCTTGGCTTGAAAAGAAACGTGGTGTGAAGCTGAAGCATAAATTAAAGTTGAGTTGCTGTAATGACAGAACTGGGTCGCAGCTTTCACTGCGCCGCGTTCGTCTGAGATCTGCAGAGTTATGAGAAAACCGGCTTTCAGAGAAATGCTAATTGGTGGTTAGCAGAACCTGTTGCTGTTCTTAGAAGATGAGAAAGCAGGAAGAGGCGACGCTCTGCCTGGTTTATAAATGCTCACCACACAAATCTTATCAAGTATTTTTGGTCTAGTTTTCAGTGTAAACATCTTAGTACACTTAAAAATGACAAAACTAACTTAAAAGTAATTTTTCAACAAGCTATAGGAGCTTGTTTTAAGTCAATCATATTTTTAAAAAGTACTTCTTCCATTGGCAGATTATTTAAACTATAACATGTTTGTCATGCTATAAGTGGCATAATCTGACAGTGGAAACCAGAACTTTTTCATTAATATTAAGAAATTATTTACTTAAAACAAGCTCCTATATATTGTCTTCCATTGGCTGGAAGAGTTCACAGCAATCATAATCAAGTAAGAGTAATCCGACTAAAACATATTTTTACTCAAGTAAAAGTAAAAAGTACTCAACCAAGAAATTACTTGAGTAAGAGTAAAAAATGTTAAATTTACTCAAGCACTGAATAACTGATCAGAACATCGGAGTCAATCAGAAATATGAAGCTGAGTGAAAATTCTGGTACTTTAAAGACTAAAATGAAAAAACAAAAACTAATTCCTAATCAATATTTTCAACAAAAAAACTTATGAAACTAACACTGTTGGTCTGTCTCACATGGTTTTAGTGAGACAGACCAACCAAACAGAACAAACATGTTTGTTCTTTATTCAGTGGAGATACGAACAGTGGGCAGCCAGAAATTTTACTCAAGTACTTACAGTGTTTTTGCCAACAGTTAATCAAATAAATGTAATGAGTTATGACTCAACTGTGCTTGTAAGTTAGCTTTGTCTTATTTCAAGTGTACTAACATGTTTGCACTAGAAACTAGACCAGGTGAGATTTTGTGTTTTTGCAGTGTGACTGATGTTTTGTGATTTTCTTTCTTGCTCTGCAGACGACCTGCTCCAGGAGCAGAAGGCCGACATGGACCAGTTCCTGTCCTCCATCTCTGAATCGCAGCCTGACGTCACCGTGTCGTCGGAGGAGAGTGTGGAAGTTCCCGTCTCCGAGGGCAAACCGTACCGACCCATCCAGGTCACGTCTCTGGGAGCGCGCTCAGAGCCGGAAGGTACGGTACAACACCACACACACTGAGCAAAACCTTTAAAGGTGGCCTGTTGCTTTAAATTCAAATCAGCTGCTGCTGGCCATGCCCCCCAACGCGACATTTACACACACACGTGAAAATGGCAGCGAACGGATGCACAAATATACAACTGGAAATCTTTGAAAAACATTAGTAGAGCCTCCTGCACAACCAAAAAGAATCCAGCAAGTGGTTTCTGAACGGTAAGTCAACAACAAAACACTTGTCTTTTCCAGCAGCCATTGTACAGAGCAGATATCGTTTTATAATGTTGAGAGTGTCGTCTCGCCCGTTGGGGTGACAGCATCAGAGCCAGGGAGCAAAGAAAGCTCAACAACCTGATAAAGAAGGCTGGAACTGTTCTGGGGGCGACTGCGGAAACACTGGAATGACGCAAAGAAGTATTTTACATAACATCAAGAAAATAATCAACAATCCTGAGCATCAGCTTCATGAGACTTTCATAGAAAAACAGCATCTCTGATCAGAGGCTTCTTCAAATTCCCTGTAATACAGACTGCTACAGGAGATCTTTTCTGTCAACAGCTATCACCATTTACAATAACCCTGAAGAATTTTTAATAAATATCAGAGTAACACTTTCTAGTCATTGTTTTCTTTCCTGAGTTTTACAACAGTTGGAAGCCTGACCATAAAACGCTTCCAACTGTCGTAAAACTCAGGATTGACAACAGTGACTTGAAATTGTGTAACGTAAGTTAAAACAACGTTTAATTTCCGTTTTGGACCAGTAAACTATTTTGGAATTTGAAAATCAGTTGACCAAATATTCTGGAGCTCAGCTTTGGTTGCTAGGTGACGGGCGGCGTTCCGCTGAGGTTGCTAGGTAACAGCCTGGGCTTTGCTGGGGTTACTAGGTGACGGGCAGTTCCTGCTGATTTGTGACGTTACATTTTGAAGGTTTTTGAAAGTCTCATTTTCCAGACACCAAAAAACATTAAATTGTTGCCAAAAACAATGAAACTAACATTGTTGGTTTCAACTATTTTTGTTTTGTTTTGTTGTTAGTGATTTGGTTGTTTCCAGAAGCAGCAGAAACCCAAATGGAAGTATGAAAATGTGAATTTTGCATAATAGATCCCATTTATCAGAACTCCACTGTTCAGATTAAACTGAACTGCAGCCAATCGCTTCGGGGGGAAACGAACGTCAAACTGGTGCCAAACAAAAGACTGAATCCTTAAGGAGAAGTAGAAATGATGGATGGAATATTTCCAGGAAGATGGGAGGCAAATTACAGTGAAACCCCAGAGGAGTGTTTTGAGACGCGAGCCAGCGGCCCGGAGGGCTCAGCAGGGCGCGCCAACTCCGATTCTGGTTCTGATTCTCCCGTTTCTGCTCAGTCAGTTAACAGAGCTTGATAATCCTGCCGTTTCTCTTCTCACCTCAGTTTTCTCTCTTCTCTCCGTCCCGTTTTCTGATCTTGTTTTTCTGTTGCTCATTTCTAACGTCAAGGCGACCTATCAGACTCCCCACGTGCCTTCAAGAAAGGTGGGTGCCTCTGTTGCGTCTTGTTTTCCTCTCGCCCGACTAAAACCATCCCCATTGTTTTCCTTTGCTTTTCCTCTCCTTTCCACCCTTTCTTACTGACCACCCTGGTTTTGTTGCTTTTTTTTTTTTTTTGGTTTTTGTTCTTTTTTTCTTCATCATATTTGGATTATCACCTCATGCTTTGTAAAAAAGCTGGTAGCTTTTACTCTGCAGTCTTTTGGCTCTCACCAGAATTACGGGTATTTTTCTCACCAGCCGTCTAGTTTCCGATAGGAGCTGTGAAATGTAGCGTATACGCTGCAAAACCCCTAAATCTTACCAAGTATTTTGTTTAGTTTTTAGTGCAAACGTCCGAGAACACTTTAAATAAGGCTAAACCAGCTTACAAGTAAGATTTTAGCAAGATATAGTAGCTTGTTTTAAGTCAGTAATTCTTTAATATAATAGAAAATCTTAGTCCAACTGGCAGATTATTTCACTTATATCAAGATGAGCTTTTTTTGTATAAATTATTGACTTAAAACAAGCTGCCACATCTTGCTGAAATGTTACTTGTAAGTTTTATTTTACTTTAAGTGTACTAATATATTTGCACTAAAAATTAGACTTGGTAAGATTATGGTTTTTGCAATATGAAACTACAAAAACACAAAATCTTAAGTATTTTTTAAAATCTATTTTTTATTGTAAATATCTTGGTACACGTAAAGTAAAACAAAACTTACTAGTAACCTTTCAGCAGAAAATATGAGTTTAAGTCAAAAATCCCTTAATATTTATTAAAGTTTTAGTTCTATTGGCAGATTATTTAACTTATTAAATGGGAAAATGTCTTGTTATAAGTAAAATAATCTACCAGTGAAACTATAACTTTTTCAAATCAATATTAATGAATTATTGATGAAAAACAAGCTCCTATATCTTACGGAAAAGTTACTTGCAAGTTGTTTTTTTCTTATTTTAAATGTACTTGGATATTTGCACTATAAAACTAAACAAAAAATACTGGATTAAATTTTGTGTTTTTGCAGTGTACCTCTCTGAACTCTGCGTTCACCCAAAAATAAACTAATAAATTTCTCCTACAAGTCCAGAGATTACGGCGTGTGCAGAGGTTTTAAACCGCCCCTACCGTCTTTATGCTGTAATCCTGAAACTTTAAGAGATTATAAGAACGTTCGGCTGCCTGGAAGGAAAACATTTTCTTAATCACAGCTTGAGTCTGTGATCAGTGCAATCTCCATTTCTCTAATGTCTCAAACTAAGAAGAAAAAGTTCTCCACTTAGGTTGACAGTGGGATCTTTTACCATTTCTCCTACTGATTACCTTTTATTTGTGATGTGAAAGCGGCCATTTTTTGACTTTCGGCACAGTTTGCATCCCAGACAGGAAAGAGCGTAACGGACTCCTGACTGTAGATGGAAAACTTTTCTGTCAACGCAGTTTTGAATTTTTAAATCTCGCACTAATTTCTAAATATAAGTGCATTATGACAACTGCTGTTTTTATTTTAAACGTTCATCCAGCCCAAAAGTTTTCGCCGATGGAAACACAAAAAAGCGATGAAAACTCCAAAACACACAAACACAAAAAACAAATGCAACCAAAAATGCAGCAAATGTATCTACATCAACATCGATATCAGCTGATATTATTAATTTTTTAAACGTATCGGTCCGATAAATAAATTTAGGAAGATATGAACAACCGGTATTTGTTTTAATCTTGTTGCCTTTTGCTTCTGTTCATTTTTAAGTGTCAGAACAGTAGAGAAATATTTATGATATAATGTACATGATATCAGTAAATATCAGTTGTTTGTCATGACATTAATATCAGATGTCGATATCAACCCAAATTTTTGTTTTGCTGCATCTCTAGCAAAAACCTACAATCCACAAAATTAACACTAAACAGAAGACCTCCAGACCACTAGGGGGAGTCTATAGTAGGTCGAGTTACCTCTGTAAATATGCTGTTGTTCCATAATGTTGTGAAAGACTGCGTGTTTGAAAGACATGAACTATAACACATCTTTTATTTCTTCCGTCCCGATAATCATGACATCCCATCTTTACTGAGGTTCTCGTCCTGTATGAGTTATTGGTCGACTCCCCCTTGTGGTCTGGAGGACTTACATTTTTGCTTCTATTTCCCGTGGTTGCAAAATTTTCCATTTGCAGCATTTGTTGCATTTATTTTCTTTCATGTATTGGGATTTGCATCATTCGTGCGTTGGCACCTTTTGACCCCTGTATGTTTCACATTTTCCTGTGTTACAAGCACAAAAATCTATATGTTTGATTGGCCAGGGCTCAGTAGTGAATATTTATGGATAAGAAGGGGTAAAAAAGATAATTTTTAACTTTTTATTCGGATTAAAATCTTAAGGTCTGGCATTATTTATATTTTGTGCCAATAAATCTTTTGCTACAGTTGCAGCCATGAGTCTGTTTCCCTTTCCAATATAACTCAGTCTGGTTGTAGGGACAGCAAAAGTGGACATCAGTTTTTATGTCTCACCACAGCTCTCAATTGTATTTACTCTAGACTTTGACTGGGCCATTGTGACACATCTGTTGTAGCTCTGCCTGGTTGTTTATGGTTGCTGGTTGATTGTATTTAGCTTCATCCATGAGGACGAGTCTCACCATGTGGTCGGTGTGCCGGGGGACCTGCAGTGTTCCTGTGTTTTTATTCTGATTTTAAATCTTGCATCACTGGACTTTTGCTAATTAGATTACTTTTGATGCAAATTTAAACTTTTTATTCTTTTTAAACCTGAACAGAGAGGTGTGATTACTCCCAGATACAGTTTTACTATTAAGCTTTTGTCAACATTCCTATGGAGTGTGAAAAGTGTCAAATAACAATAAATAAAAAACTTCAATTAGAAACTCAATTTCTAATTGAATAAAAAACATGAATAATTATATCTACGAAATTAGGTCAAGCAAGATGTTGAATTTAACCATATTTCTAATAAGAGGAAATAAATTAATAAAATTATTACTTTAATTGAGAGACATAGAATTAATTATGTGCTAAATAAATTATTTCATTGTATATTTAAAGGTTTATTGACATATTGAAATTTGGACTTAAACGATTAATCGGACCAATCATGATTAATCGACAACTAAAATAATTGTCAACCAGTGTAGCAGTCGATTAACTGGAGCATAGAAGCTCAAAATGAGGCCATTTGTTGAAAGAACAATAGACACAGAGCAGTAAGCTAGTCAAAACTGTTCAAAAACAGCATAATTTTATCTTCACCTGGTTCAAATACTTAAAAAATATATCAGTTATTCATCTAATCCTAAAAATAATCAACAAATTATCCCTGAGCTGTATTAATGTTAAATCAAATTATTAAATTAATTAAATGAAAAGTCTTCAGAATGAACAAAATGTTTCATCCAATTAATCAATTAACTGATTAATTGTCTGAGTAGTTGATTACTAAAATAATCGTTGGTTGCAGCCCTAATATTGATGAGTTTTTTTTATTTATTGTAATTTGGCACTCTTCACTCTTTGCACAGACAAAGATTGAATACTGGTCATAATAAATTAATTAAAATACTTGTCCCATTTTTCTACACATGGTGTTAGTTGTTTAAGAAGCTGCGCTGCTCTGTATGCAGAGCGACGCTGCAGCTGCCTGCCATGCACACCCTGCAGGGACAGAACCTCCTCAGCTTGTCACATCATTGTCTCATTTATTTCACATGAAGGTGTAGTTACAGAAAAATGCATCTGTTGGCGAACAACGACGATTGTTAATGAAAAATTGCATGCGTCTGGTTTGAGAGGGCCTCTGTGGGAGAGCGCTGTCATGTTCACAGTCGTCTCTCTGTGCTGAATGGGAGAAAGGGTTTTGTTGTCACCAGCGCACCGAGGAGACTGATGCAACGGCTGTGACGAAACAATCTGCTGTCCACCAACATCACCACCCCTGTTTGTCTGTTTTGTTTTGCCCGTTTTCTGCGTGTCACTGACCGATCCGGCTTTACCTCCACCAGGCTCCGCCATGGCTGGTCTGGACGGTCTGATCGGCGCCGAGGAGAGAGTCATCAACAGCAAGCCGAAGATGGGAGAAGACCTGGTGAGTGCCTGACGCTTCTGTGCAGCCAACAACTATTTAAATTATCAATTAATCGGTTGATTATTCTGACGATTAATCAATAATTGGGTTTTTTGAAATTACACATTCTGCAGATTTTTTATTTAGGCATTTTTATACAATATTAGAAAAACATACAAATGTATAAATAATTCAATTCCTTTTTAAATAGGAAAATAAACATGTTCCTACTTCAGTTAATGATTTATAGTTCACTAAATTAGTTGATTATTATTTCAATGATCGATTAATCACAATCAATTCAGTCCTAATTTAACGTCATTAATTTAAAATCTGAAGGGTTATCTTAAATAAATACAAAATGTATATATATATTGGCTTAATTACAACTCTGAGTGTGTTGTTCTTTCAGCACCTGTGTATACCAGTTAATGATTAATTGATTATTTTAATAGTCGATTCATCCGATTAATCGTTTAAGCCCTGCCTCTGTGACCTGAGAGCAGCTTTGTTGAGGATAAACACAGGGCTGACTGTCGGCAGGTTAATTTCACTCGGTGGAGGCTGATTGAGATGAATGAGGCGACCCGGCGCTTTCTCTTAATTTCAGTTTTCACTGTGACGAAGGATTCCAGTAACTATGTTGTCATAGTTACATCCGTCTCGCTCTGGGCTACTTGCGTCTGTGTGTGGCTTCCTCCAGCCGGCCTTCATGCAAATCGGCTCCACGCTCTGTTTGCCAGTCACTGCATGGCACATTTCCTCACCCAACTCGCCAGGCCTCCGCGAGGATTTTCAAACCATGTTTGCCTCTGAGTGCGTCTTGTGTTCTGCATGTCAAGCCAACACCCAGCTACCAAGCTGCATGTTTGTGTGCATGAGTTTTCTGTCTTTTGTGGGGTAAGGCTGTTTTTCTGAGATAGAGCAACCTGGCAGTGAAATTATCTGATGGGTGTGAGACCTAAAAACATTTTCTTGAGTCAGATACAGAATATGGATTGGTCTCTGTAGAAAATGCAGGCTGTCACTTGTTTCTATCTCCTAAAAGCATCGTCCTTACCCTGTGATTGTGCAGTGAGCAGATGGATGCTGATGGCCTGTTCACACAAGAAGAGTGACTGAAATAATTAACAGTGGATATAAGGAATGTCAACACCCTATTAAAGTGTGACATTAAAATATTCCAAAGTTTTTCACATTTAATGTGACCTAAGACCTGGAGATGGATGGATGGATGGATGGATGGATGGATGGATGGATGGATGGATGGAGATCTGACTGAAGGTGGAAAACCTGTAATAAATTGGCTTCCTGTTGAATGAAGGGTGTGTAAACTTTTACATCCACTGCATGTTATTAAAACTGCTGCGCTCTCTCTCTCTCTCTTTATTTCCTTCCAGTTTGAACCAGAAAACTTCAAGCTTATCATCACTTTAACACTTTGCTGCACATCCACACTCTCTTGCTTTCCTGCCTCTCCATTCCTGTCTAACAATAAAACCAAATTATTCCTTTCTTTCTCTCTCTCACACACACACAGACATGTTTTCTGTTTTCGTATCTTGTGGGGACTTTACATTGACTTCTATTCATTTTCTACAGCCTACTCCTGCCCCTACCCCTACCCATCACATGCCTAACCAAAACTCAATTCACACCTTAATCCTAATCCTAATCCCTCTAACTCAAAAACAGCTTTTACCCTCATGGGGACCAGGATTTGTCCCCACAAGAAGCAGCGGTCCCCACAGCCCCACAATGTAGACAGACATAGGTCCCCACAAGCATATAAAAACCTGGTTACACACACACACACACACACACACACTGCTGTGAGTGTAACCTGGGCTCCCTGTCTGTGTTGACAGGTGATTGATGAGTCTCTGGATGTTAACGAAGTGGTTTACAGTGCTGAGAGAGTCAGCGTTATGCATGGTGATGAGCTGGTGAGTACAGCGGCGCCCTCCTCTGGGCTCTGGGGAACTACAGGCAGCGGGGAGAAGGTGACAGTAGGAGAGTGTAGGAGTGTGCAACCAAACTTTACTTACCCCCCTCTCTTCATGAGTTAAAGTTTTCTGTTCAAGCTATAAAGAAAATAAAATGTCATTCCTGCATGGGAGCATGTTTGTTATGTGAATGTACCTGAATGTACACGTTGGAAAAAAGATCAGCAGAAACTGATGTGGCTCAGTTTTTGTGTGGGAATGAGCGGTGAAGAAATTCCCCAGCAGCTGTTCACATATGATCAGATTGTGTCATATGTGCCAAGTTACAATGTGAATGTAGAAAAACGGATTGTGACGAAACGTCAGCTCAGATATGATCAGCTGCAGCATTAAAATGTTTTTTTTTTTCTTGAGTTTCCTCATGTTTTCTATGTGAATTCTCAATTAATTTAGGATTAGAAGATGAAGATTTAGAGGTGAATTTATCATCTTCAATATTTTAGACCATAAAATCCACTCAGCAAAGGGTAAAAAAAGAGAGAAACCAATGCTAACTGTACATAATGATAAACTACAGATTATCTTTATGTAACTACAAACAGACCTATAATGAACATTTAGTTTGATGTAAGAAAAAAATCTGTAGCTAATTGCTAATGCTAATCTTAGGTTTGAATGAGCAAGAAACAAATTGATTTAGTTGGTCGGTACTAACTGATTAGCACTTAGCATTAGCTAATACATGCTAATGCTAACTGGTATTGATGAAGGAAAGACTTTGTTACAAAGTTTATAATAAGAAACTGAATAAAAAGTTTTATTCAGTGAAGTAATTGATATTCTGTGATCGGTCCGTCATTCATTGCTTTCCAAATTAATGTTGGTTATCTTTCACCTTTTTGTAATGAAGAGTTTATTATCATCAGTCATGAGCATTAGCCAGTTTTAGCATCTTCATTTAGTATCTGATTGTTCGCTGCTCCTTTTAATATAATAATTTAAAATTCAGACCTAATTTCCAACAGAAATTCGGACCTAATTGCTGTTGGACAGATCTGGAAAAATATCATTGCAGTAATGATTAACTGATTAACAACTGATGATAAACTGAGTGTTTTGTTTAATGTCTAATAGTGTGGAATCTCATCAGCTGCAATTAGTCTTTGATTAGTTGCTCTCCAAATTCTTGTTTTGATTATCTAATCCTTAAAATTAGTTAATAAGCAAAACACAATCAGATGTTTATAATTACCTATTAGCATTAACTGCTATTATCATCAGCAGCTAGCTGTTTATTTAGTCGCTGCTAACTTTCAATTGGTTGTCAATAAAACATTTCAGATTTGTTTAAAGTATTTAGGAAAATATGATCAGGATTTCATTTTAAATATTTACTTAACTATCAGCTCTTTATTAGCGTTTGAACAGATTGATTACATAGTAATAATAGTAATATAAAGTAATGCACAAACAATATCCAATCTAGTCCATTGACTTTTTCAGAAATTGTGATCAGGAGTTGACAATTAATGTAAAATTATTTGGTTTCATCAAAAAGTAATAATTAACTCACATGTATCAGAGTAATATTCTTGAATTATTACTTGGTAATGTTAACTTACAAATAATAATTAGCTAGAAGCTAGTTAGCAAAACATGTTAATCATTAACCGCTGGGTAATGGTTAAATAAAGTCTAGTTCATTATTAGCTTCTCATCGGCCAAAACTTAAAATATTTTATTTGAGTTCAGTTTGACTGAAGCTATTAGCCTGATTAGCTAACAGCTAATTGTTTGAAGTTCTATGGACAGCTACTAGTTAGTTAGCCATTTACCAAATTTTGATCCACAGTCCTTTATGTTGGTTTTCAGTAATTTAATATTGCAATATAAACAGCTTACTATTAGCTAGCTTCTCACCAGAATTTGACCTGGAGTTCATGGAGTTTACAGACAGTTTCCTATTGAATTAGCGCAGGTATTTATAAATGAATGTAAGCAGACACTTAACCAATCCTTGTTTAGCTCCTCATGGGATTCTATGTTACTAAGTGAATTTTATTGCTTTTTAAAATGAAAATATTGCCTTAATATCATTCCTCAAGGCATTTCGTCGCTCAAGATGAGCCGCGCTGTCTGGCAGTGGTTGGATTTTTATGGCTATTTAGTAACATTAAATCAGGTAGCTCTTTTTCAAAGTAACATCATCGTTATTTCAGCTTGGAAATAAGTTGATTTGGTATGGACTTTACCTATTGTTGGTTTTAATGTGAGAAGTTTGTGTAAATTGAATTGGCAATCTGCAAACAGCATTTGCATGTTGCTCAGACTTTGCACCCAAGGGGATGTTGTCCCTGATGCACAGCGAAGCGAAACTCCTCCAGTCGATTGATTTCCACACTTCAAAGCCACTTCAAGGAACTTTGATCTGTAAAGTCATATTTCCCATCATCTCCTTTGAATATTTTGATTTGAATATTTTTCAGATTAAAGCTGAGTTTATATGCAGAGCCTAAAAAAACCAAACTTTATCCAGCAAATGGAGTTACTTTTAAAACTTTAATAGGAAATTCAGGAGTCTCATGTTTTCCCTTTATTACTATTGATCATCATGATTTACTCAACACCTCACCTGCTGAGATTGGAGAATAGAGCCTGCAGCAGAAATTTCCGTATTGATCTTGTTGCATTGGTTTGGGAAGGCAGTAACTACAAAACCTTTCCTGTAAAGTAAAAAATTTAATTACTGGTAATAACTGCAGCCAAATCTGTATTCACTCGAACGTGAACATTGAAAGATCTTCTGTGGGCAAGATGAGGAGTAGCAGACTGGAGAAGTTAGATAAAGAATGAGTCTTATTTATAATTTATTTTAAACTGAAATCTGTAATTTCCTCCTCCTGTTTTGTCAGCCCTACCGCCCCCTGGGAGAGGACTTCAGCATAGGGTACAGCAACACCGCGCTGATTGGCCTGCTGGTGATCGCCGTTGCCATAGCAACTGTGATTGTGATCAGCTTGGTTCTATTGAGGAAAAGGCAGTACGGCACCATCAGCCATGGCATCGTGGAGGTAAGACACCACAACAACAAGGAATGCCAACACGAGTCACTGAATCTGACGCTGTTGCTAACGATTATTTAACTAATCGATTAGTCTGGTGATTAATTGATTAATCTGATTAGAGAATGTTGTATTATAGGATTTTTCATTTAGCCGCTGTCCTGAAAATGCTCTGGGATCCCCCATGATGAGCTGGAAAGTGTTTCTGCAAGAAGGAAGAGTAGTGAATAGATGAATATTTGATATAGCAATTAAAATTTTGTTCTTTTGCATTTTACAAGTTGCATTGGAAAATATTGACTTGAGTAAGTTTAGAGATTCAGTGGTTGAAACACATTGCCTGAAAGGAATATAAAGATTTATTTGTTTTAGGGAACCACTCACCAGTTGGGCTGCAGCTAATGATTATTCTGATGATTATTCTGATGATTAATCGATTAATCAGATAGTTAATTTGGAACATTCAGCAGATTTTTCATTTAACCATTTAACCTTATTTATGCAATATTAGAAATAGATTTGAAATATAAATAAACAATTTGATTCGTTTTTTTAAATAAGAATACAATAACAGCCTTACTTTAGTGAATATAAAGGATCCTTCTACAGCTAAAAAAACACTTATCAGTGTGAAAAGCTCGACCCTTTCTGCTTAGATCAGAAAAGACGCTTAATTGGAGTTTATTTTTTGACAGAATTTGAACCAGATGAAGCCAAAACTTTGCCAGCTAAGGAGTTTTGTGCAGAACATATTTACAGACCAAGGTTCTTAAAAATGTAAATATTTTTGAACAGTTGGCTTAATAGCGGGTACAAGTATATTGTTCTTTCAGCAACTGGCCTTTTGAGTCAAATAGTAAACAATTAATCGTGATTAATCTGATTAATCGTTTTAGCCCTACCTGAATTAGCTCAGACAGAACGCTCTGCCCTCTGCGTTGTCTTTTTGATAATGATCTGCATCTTGTTTGCAGGTGGACCCCATGCTGACGCCAGAGGAGCGACACCTAAACAAGATGCAGAACCACGGCTATGAAAACCCCACCTACAAATACCTGGAGCAGATGCAGATCTAACTGAGAGGGGGCGCCGTGGAGCCCACAGCTGGAACGTACTACTGACCAATAACACATGATGCTATTGTTAAAATCCTTTGCGTACATCCAAACTCCATTTACTGGTTTGTTCAAAACAATCCTTAAGTAATGCTACTACTTCTACTACTGTTGTACTATAGAGCTCTTTTTGATCACGTCTGATGTTTCTGCCAGTTTGCAAAATAGAAAACGATTTATCTGTAATTATCAAGACAGATCAAGATGTATAACATTTCTTCTGACATTTTTATTATGTGAAAAGCAAATCAAACTAATGTTTTTTTAGTCATCAAACTGGCACTACATTTAGTTTCTCCATCATTCAGACATCTGATGGGTTTCATTAAATAATTGATGTTTTAATGTGTTATTTTTAATCTCAATAGATTGCTTGTATATGAAGGTTCTTTGTACCAATCAAAATGTTTAGTGATTAAAAAAACACATGGGGGGGAAATAAATCATGGTTTATTTCTTTGCTTTGTTATAATAACAAATATACATAAAATGTTTAAATATACATAAAATATATATAAAATTAGATGTTTTTATTCTACCTTTTCCCAAAGGAAGAGATTATAAATTGGTTTGGGTTTTTATTTTTTATCCTTATTTTTATTCGGTGGTTCGAATGTTTGCAGGCGTTGGAAAAGGTGAGGACCTCCGCAGACCTCCAGCTCAAACATCATTATTGACTGAATCTCCACTTTTCTAATTCTTCTTTTGCTTTAATTGGTCAGATTTTTGTGTGCCATTAGTTCATTAAAGTCCTGTGCATCAGGACAAAATTTATACTTTCTGATCTGACACAGCAAGTCAACCAGACAAACTGTTTAGCTAAGCGAAGCCCAAAAAGATTCATAATAAAAATGAGTGAATGTCGTTTCTCGATTGATTTTTACCCAGAAAGCACATGGGCAAAACCCATGAGTGAAACGGTCACGGGGACCGACTAGTATATATTCCATTGAGGGAATGTAACTTTAACATATTTATTTCTCATATGTTAACATAAAGGCTCGTTTTGAAGTATAAGCTGCTACTTGCAGGCATCGCTTCGAAGAACTCGACCTGGAATGCGGCGTTCATAACAGACACGTGTGTTCATCTGCTCTACCGCTAGCAAACAACCGTACTGATTAAATAACATAAAAGTCAAGCAGTTCCCTGAAAGTCCAACAGATGGCAGCAATGGGCCCCACAATTTACAGGACACACTTCCTGCTAAAGAGCCCCCTGGTGGTTGAAGAAAAATCCACATATAAACCGGAAAATACAATAAATGGAAAAAAAATATGAATGCTCTCTGGTATTGTTCAGGGGGCCAGACCAAATGTGGAGGCGGGCCGCAGTTTGGGGACCCCTGGTTTAGAGCTTCTTTTAGTGTTGTAGTTAGGCCTCCATTCAGCAGAGGGCGCCTCTGGTCATTCATAAGCGGAGCCGCTGAGACAGAAACAAAGATGGCGGCGGTGCGATTCCTGTACGGGGATTTTTAACGGTCCAAACAGAATCCGGTGTGGGATGCAAAATGCCCTTTACGCGGTTCTGTTTTGAAATATAAACACTCAAGTTTTACTTTAATAGCCTGAGATGCCGCATGATGGCGCAGTGTCGGCATATTATAAAAAACAGCCCCTTATGGAGAGACGGTCCGTTGGCTTGATAAGAGAGAAAACTCAGCTTTTTAAGGAAATGGCCGCTTATTAATTAACCGATCGATAAACTCAGTCAACTTTAGATTAACTCGTTAGTCAATAACTTGCACCCCTAACACAAACACAACCTTTTGCTAATCGGGAAGCTGTAAAAATCCGTTATCCAAATGGTACATAGCTGAATGTATTTCTCCGTACTATGTATATGATGGGTTCCCTTGAAGCTTTGCTCTTTTTGTTTTACATTTTGCACAGATTATCCAAGTCAAACAATTGACTCCCAGATATTCACAGATAGATTTGTGGATGTTGCATCTTGAGCTTAGCGCTTCTGGAGATCCAAACCGGGCTGAGAATCAACCCTGAATTAACTGCACAAACATTTAATGATGCGATGAAACGATCTGGAGGTCTGCGCAGGCGGAGAGCTGGCTGTGTGTATTTTTACAGGTAGAGAATGACACGAAACAAGTGAAGCCTAATCCTTTCTCTCTATCTTAGTATCGTCTTTGTATGCCTGTATAGTTGATGTTGCAATCATGGCTTTTTTTTTCTTAAGAGGATTTCTGTGGTGTGCATTGTTCTTATATGAAATCTGTTTTTAATTTTATTTCCCAGTTTCTTTTTCCTCTTTCTGTGACAGTATATCTGTATGTGACTGTCTCACTATGCACCCAAACAGCTTCGATCTCGTAACTGCCTGCTTGACTGTGGAAGAGGACCAGGGGACATTGATTATATTATGCATATTAGTGATTTAAAACTGATCAACACCAATGGAAACAGATTTATGGTTACAAGGGGTTACACATCAATAAACTCACAACAAACAACTGAACGCGTCATTTTTTATTAAACTGATGTTTGGAAAATTTTACAAAATCTTATATTTTTTAAAATACAGGAGAGAATATTGTTCTGAGGAAACAAAGTTTTAGTCGAGAATCTAATTTTAAGTTTTTAAACTCTGGCTTAGATTTTTGGGAGGGTTTTGTTTGTTTATTTTTTGAACATGTGCAGAAATACTTGCAGTTTGAAGCAAAATGCCAAAACTTTTGTTTAGAGAGTGGATGGATGTATAAACTTATCAATATTCCCACATTTATTCCCACATGTTAAAAAGTAATCTTATATTTGTTACAACTTAACTTGCCTTTAGTTAACTCATCAGTACAGTATCTATTTAATTTTTATTACAGTAGATGATCAATCATTTAAATTTCACCAAAAACAAACTTTGTGTCAAATACAAAAACATCAACAATAATTGACAAATATTACATATTACAACCAGCAATAATCATATGTTTATGTAAAGGTATATGTATTTTTCTTTAATAAAACATTATTTGGTTTGATCTTTCAGAAACAATGCTAAAAACAAAAAATCTCTTAGTGAAGAAACATGTTTAATCCCTTTTCAAATCATCCTCATGACATTTATTTATATAAGGAAATTAAAATTAGTTGGAAAAAAAGAAAAATATAAAGCAAAAAATATAAATAAATTAATTAATTAATTAAAATAAATCAGTTAAAAAAAGATTAACTCAGGATGGGAAAATATCCTGAAATAATTTGCCAGAAGAACAAATATTTGTCTTTTTCAGCATAAATTGACATTTGTCTCTTTTTCTTTTCCCTAAAAAAATAAAAATAAACAAATTGCATTTTTATCCCGCTGCTTCACACGTATACACTTTGCCTGTACAAACATAAAAATATGAACAACTTATTCTGGTATGCTGCAAAAACACAACATCTTACCAAGTATTTTTGTTTACTCTCTTGAAAGAAGACAAAACTAAGTTATAAGTGACTTTTCAGCAAGATATGATTTTGTTTTAAGTCAATTAGTTTCACTTTAAATATGGGAAAATGTCATATTACAAGTTAAATGTCTTGGAATAGCACTAATTATTGACTTAAAACAAGCTCATATATCGTGCTGAAAAGTTACTTGCAAGTTCGTTTTGTTTTATTTCAATTGTACTTAGAAATTTGAAATAGAAACTAAACCTAAAATACTTGGTAAGTCTGTGTGTAATTATGTCTGAAACGCAGAAAACATAAATTCTGTCATCAGCGTGTAACATGTTTACCCATTTCCCATCCTATGGTTTGTTTCTTTTATGTTTCGAGGAAAATAATGTTTCTTTCACATGAAACTCAGAAGTGGAGATGAGTCATATTTTCATAAACACAAAACTGATCACGTGACTGCGTAGGCAGCTCAGACCTGGTGAGAACCAAACCACAGTTAAACATTTAATGTTTGAACCTGGCAGCTAATGCGGATCAGAACCGTGTCCTGAACCAACACATGTACCGTTGTTTAACTCTTTGGTGACGGGAATAAAGCCCGGTTGTGTTGTTGACTTCGGGTTTTGCTCTCTCAGGTAAACAGGAAGACACGCCCTCAGAAACTACGCTCCCGGAAGAAAGGAGTCTTTTTCCGAGCCCGTCCTTCCTTTAAGACGAGCAGGTGGACATTTTCAGCTCAGGTGGAAACTAACCGACATCTCCACTGGATCTGCAGCCGTATTTTATTTCGCTTTTTGAGATATTTTAGACATTTTTTAACGCTTAATTTGAAGTTTTGTTGATAAACTGAGGATTCACCTGCTGTTGCTGGGCCTGCAGATTCACCTGGGAAGCAGTAGATCCGTCTACTGAAACTCACACGAAGAGCTCAGAGGACTGAAAAGGGACTTTTGGGGATATTTTAAAACAAAACTAGCGACATGGCGGACCCCATGGAAAGTGGAATAAAATACATGCCAAAATTGGTAAGTTTTTCTCGGATGGGTGGCGCTGTCTCCTCCAGCTTTTCAAAAAAAAATTTCCATGATTTTCTGAATATTAAACCCCTTAAGCAATCGGAATGAAGGGAATTAAGATGGTGTTTTTGTGTGTGTGTTTATTGTTGTACAGTCAACAAACAGTGAGTAGGATGAGGGCTGTATCAGCTGGTATCTTTCACCAGCAAACTTGTTTCACTCAAGATTTAAAAAAAACTTTCTGAAACCAAATGTTGCAGTCATCTTGAGAAAAAAAAAGGAAAATAAACATTTTTGGTTTTGACTCTAAATTCCTAATTAATAAGCATCGTTTTTAGATTATCCTGGTGTTAAATGGGATCATTGAAAAAGAAATGAATAATGGTTACACCTAGTAGGTTAAATTCATAATAAAAGTATTGTCGCAATAAAATGGTGACCTGATTTCTGTAGTAGAAAATGTCTTCAGGAGGATAAGCGGAAAAATATCCTACTTAACCTGAACACACCTTTTTCTGGGACGTGTTTTCCAAGAACCCTGTACAATAAAAATTTAACCCAGGACTCTCTTCCTCCTTCAGCGCAACAACTTTCAAACCAACACCAATGTTTTGATTAAAACAACAGTTCAAAAGTCAATGGTAGTAAATTCCTGAGACTTGTTACGGTTTGTCCTCAATAAAATAACTTCAAATTAAAATGGAAACTAACCCTTCATATTTGGACAATTTGAACCACTTTTTTTAGGAATAATTTGATTGCATCGTGAGAATAAAATCCAGATTTGTTATATTTTGAGCTGCATCAACCTGTCAGAACCAAATGGATCAGAATGAAGATCAGTATGTCAGGTTATGAAGGCCCCACCCAGCTGCATGCACTTTATCTGAGCTCAGTGAAAAAAGAAAAAAAAACAGACAAAGGTTTCGGGATCTGCTTTTGATTCATAAACGTGGATAATCTTGTAATGCATTTTACTCTGTTTAAATCAAAATTAGTAACTGAGAAGTTAAAGAAAATTAGACATTTCTCTGCAATAAATT